AAAAATGGAATAAAATGAACATTGCACCGAATTTATTTCTGACAAATTGGGTTGTTTACACCAATTTAACTTTGAAAAGGATAATGATTAGCATATTATTCGATTCAATACATTCACTAAAATTTGCTAGTTCAGTTATTAAAATTTAAAATTTTGAATTCTCACATTTTTAATTTAAATTTAATAATAATAATTTTTAATAAATGTGTTATGAAATATATTAAATCAAAGAGTGTTTATTTAAGTGTTTATTCGAAAATACTCACCCCTACTTTAAAACTTGAACTAACTCCAACTACCTTACATATAGAGGGCAATATTTTATTATCAATAAATCCAACACTGATGTTTCTTTGAATGCATTTATAAATACATAAAATATCAATAAGAACCTTGCTGAGTTACTACATACTAATTTAAAAACTTTAATTTAAGATTAAGGTTAGAATTCGAAGAACAAACTTCTATACTACTAAGCAACTTATCCTCTAGCATACTAATAAAATAAACACATAAAATTGTCATTTTTAATTTACAAGATTAATGTTTATTCATTTTACCTTCTAAACTTTAGGAGAAAAATTATTTTAAAATTATATCGTTTCAATACAATACCATTAGAATTGATAAAAAAAATACTTTAATTCATGTTTTTAAAAAATAAGGTATTTTAGTTTTTTTAAAGAAGAGTTTATTAAAACAATGTAGTTTTAGAATAATTTTTTTATTAAATTTTAGGAAGTAAGGTGATTAGACATATTCTCTTTATTTATTTAGAGAATAAATTCACTTTTTTAAGTGGTGGAGCGGTATTAGGTTCCATTAAAAGGCAAAAGTAGTTATATTAATTTAAAAATTTTAATTTAAGATTAAAAAGTTAGAAGAACAAACTTTTATACCACTAAGCAACTAATTCTTTGGTGTACTAATAAAATAAACACATAAAATTATCATTTTAATTTATAGAGTTAGTACTTATCCCTACTTATCTCCTAAAATTTAGGGAAAAAACTACTTTAAAATTATATCATTATAGGGTGATGCTATAGGGACAATTTTTCTATATCACTTTTTTATATAACTTCCACATGTCATTAAATGAATGGATGCATTCAATATCATATGACTCACATGAATTAAAATAACCAATTATTTAAATAATACATCAGGTTGTACAAAAAAAAAGGACAAAAATGTTATACAAAAAGATGAGACAAAAATGTTGTACAAAAATCATTTCCAATCATTTTAATAAAACATTATTAGAAATAACAAAAAATACTGTAATTCATACTTTTAAAAAATGAAGTATTTTAACATTTTTCAAGGAAAGTTTATTAAAATAATATAATCTTAAAATAATTTTCTTTCTAATATTTAAGAGATAAAGTAGATAGGCACTATATATTTCCTTAATTTATTTCAAGAATAAATTCACTGTTTTAAGTGGTGCAATGGTATCAAGTTCCATTGAAAGGCAAAAGTAGTGGGTAAAGTTTCAAACTTATATAAAATTTATAATTAAAGTTTCAAATTTTTATTGCACTAAATTAAGGTCTTAAACTCCGTGATTCTCAAATAAAGTACTAATTGGATGGAAATTATTTATACTATTAAATTGTTTATTAACACCATTAATTTTAACTTATTAAATATCTAAATAGCCTATAAAATTAAAATTTTATATAAATTTAATCTTTTTTAACATATTGTAATTATTTACAAGTTAATTGCGGATGGAGGGAAATGGTTTCCATTGGATTCAAACATGCAATCTATAAGAGGTAAACAATCCCAACTCAAAGTCCAATATCAATGGCTCGATTTAACTTTCAATTGTCTTAAAACAATCATTAAACTTAATTTTTTAGCTAATGTGGCCATCGATGTGGGACCCACAACTAAACAATAATTTTAATTAACTAAAATAATGTATTAATTAGCTACTAAATGAATTTATTAAAAATTAATTAACAACTAACTATTAAGAAAACTCAATAGTTATCTCATTTTGCTAAAAGTTAAAGGTCATGAGTTTGAATCGCATGATATGCGAATGAGGTGGGATAAGAAATGAGAAATTGTTGCATTTCATTATACAATTAAGATTTAAAAAAAAAAATTTTTGAATTTTATCATAAATTCAATTATACATTAAAACTAATGATTTTTCTAACACACACAGAAATGGTATAATTGTTGTATTTTTTTAATATTAATTAAAATTACAAAGTACAAAACTATCATTAATTTCATTGCTAATGCCATGCCTGTCATTCTATTTAAGTAGTTATTTAAACAAAAGTCACTTTTTCTATTTTTAATACTAATTAATATAAAAATTGCAATAATTGCACCATTTTTTTTTTAAAACGTAAACTAATTCTTCTAAAAATAAGAAAAAGACATGTTATTACTAATTTATAATAAAAATTAGAAAAATCATAAAACTAATTTAAAAAATGAGAAAACATGTTATTGCTAATTTACCCTTCAATTGTCATTTGATTTTCGACAATTAGAATTTATCATAATTTAGCATGTAGGACCCACATACATTTCACATAAAGTTGAAAATTAAAATTCAGTTAAGTTGTGGGTCCCATAACAATTGCCACATCAGTTAAGAAATTAAATTTAAAGATTGTTTTGAAACTATTAAAAGTTAAAAACTAAATTGAAGTAAAATTTAAAATTTAAGAATAATTTTAAATATTAGAATTCTGTGTTACAGTTTGCCCTAGGGCAGATTGTAACATCAGAATCCTTAATTAAGAGGGGGAGGGGTAGGCCGAATATCGAGGAGCCTTCTGCCTTTTTATGGTACTGATGTTATAGTTCGTGACATAATAAGCTGTAACACAGTTTTTTGTTTAAATTTTAATAAGTTAAAACTAACCGTGTTAATTAGGGGTTAAATGCTTAATTTGGTCCCTCAACTTTAAGAAATGAACATTTTTGATCCCTCAACAATTTTTTGTACTTTTTTAATCCCTTAATTCTAAAAATTGCACAGTTTTGGTCCCTCCGTCAGTTAAGTATGAGGTGGCAGTTAAATAATTTTCTGTGGCATTGTTTTT